GGGCTGGATTTGAACCCATCACCTTAGGTGTATGTGGCTGGCGCCTTAGCCACTTGAGCCATAGGCGCCGAGCCTGTTGTTCTTTTAAATACAAATTGTTTGGGGAGAGAATTTTCATCAGCTGAAAGTTTTCATTTCCAATCTCTATTTTCTTCTTACAATACTTTTGAATGGAATTTGATACTTTTTTCCCCATAAGTAACTGGTATACATGGTTCCTCATATAGGAGAAGCCTATAGATTTGATCTTAATGTCCATGCACACATGTCTAAATTCTATAAACATAATACCTTGTTAGCATATCAAAAAGGTAGTTTTGACCTCACTCTGGGTTTCCTATGAATATATATTTTCTAGATTATTTTCTTGGAAAATAGTAAAACAAATTCTGATCAACAACACAAATCAAGAAGCTAAAAATAATCACCTTTGGACTGTCATATAAGTATTCTTCATAACTGATTTTTTATCTTGTAGAAATATAAGCAATACCAATCATAATTATGTGTCTCTTTTATTAAACAGGATGGATCATTTCTTATTCGAAAAAGCTCTGGCCATGATTCCAAACAGCCATATACACTAGTTGTATTCTTTAATAAGCGTGTATATAATATCCCTGTGCGATTTATTGAAGCAACAAAACAGTATGCATTGGGCAGAAAGAAAAATGGTGAAGAGGTCAGTAATTTCTCTTTTAATTCAACTCTACAAGTCTGCACTGAGCACAATGGCATCATAGTGTATTAGGTGCTAGAGATGAAGGGAAAAAAATCCACAGTACTTGGTGATAGGCTTGGATAAATGTCATAAATAGAGAATGTTAAAATAGTACTGTATAGTTGGGCAACATACTCTTGGAGAAAACAGAAAGGGAAAAATAGTGTGATATACATCCTAGTCCTTTCATCCTCTTACTTACCGAGGTCAGTTAGAGCCAAAAGTTTAGTGCAGGGGCACATATAAATCAAAGTTGGAATGTCAAGTAGAATTAAGGTTGTCAGAATCAAAGTCAGAGTCCAGAGTTCTGGAGTTCAAGACCTGGCATCTCAACTCAGGTACCAGATAGGTGACCTGGGAAGGATCCAAAAGAGATGCAGAAACTTGAGTCAAAACATGAGACTATAACTCTTATCCCAGAATGAGTTTATGGGCCTGCATCAAAAAAGAAAACATTGACTGAATCCTAAATATTAACTAGACATGCATTTTAACGCCTCTTTAATCTGGACCAAACTCAATGCTTATCAAGTCTCAGTTTAGCTAGCCTATTCCTATAAATGAGCCTGAAATAGGAGCTGGAGTGACCTAAGAATGATTCAGAAACAGAATAATATTTGTTCTATTTCTGAATTATGGGTTGAATTTTAATAAGTAGAATGAAGTTTGGAGAGAAGGAGGAGGAGAGAATAGAACAACCTAGGCAGAGAAAATAGTATTAAAAAGTTTAAGATAAGGCTCGGCGCCTGTGGCTCAAGCGGCTAAGGCGCCAGCCACATACACCTAAGGTGG